TACGCGGCGGCGGTGGCCCCAGCCAGTGGCTGTGGCCAGAGGCGTGAAGACCGTGCGCTCCCGTGGGCGTGCATGATACACAGAGATGCTTTTTTCTTTTTCTTTCTCCCCCTTTTCTTCCCAATGCCTCTCCCCAGGGAAGCACGAATGAGGTAAGTCCCTCTTGTTCTCCCCATCTCCCCGGCATGCAACTCCGCGTGGCTCCCGCGGGCAGCCGAGCCACGGGCTCCCGGGGAAAAACGTCTCAGACCCAGATGTGCATTTCCGCCGCGTCGCTGCCTTTGGGACCACAGGCTGCGGCGGCTCGGCGTGGCGGCTGCCATCCTGACCCTGCACCAGGATCCAGATGATCCCGGTGATCCAGATGCCTGGGGAAGGGGTTAAACGTGGGCGCTGCGCTCCACGCAGGGCTGGAAGCCAAGTGGAGGGAGAGCTTGGGACAGAGAGCGTGTTTGTGACGATGGGGATTTTCATCTTTCTCCCGTCAGTCCTGGCTGGGGATGTTCCTCTGGCGCTCAGAAGTCAAACGGAAACACCGGTTTGTTTTGGAGCACCGGGCATGGCGCAGCCCTTGGGCTTGGCGAGGCCTCTGTGTGCGGCTGGAAGCGGTGTGTTGTGTTTTGGGCAAAAAACACCCTGTGCTGGACTGAGGAAGCCGAACACAGAGCCCAGGAGGCAGATTTGCTCTCCCTGGCCGAGCACAGCCCCTCTTGCCCGGCTTGGAGCATCTCCATGGGGAGCCGGTCCCTGCCCGAGGTGGTGCAGCCCACAGGGAATCCTGGGGGACAACCACCAGCCGCCCTCGATGGCCGGGCTCCTGGTGTCACCAGCGCCATGGGGACACAACGCTGAGCTGGGGGCCAGGCCAGCTGGATCTTTAGGCAAAGCCTCGTATGCATCTGATGAAAACAAAAAATACCCGTCTCTCTGCCGGAGCTTCTGTGTTCATCCCGTGCCACCCCCGTGCGGCCAGGTCTGTGACAAAAGCTCCAGATTTTATCATGTCACCAAAGCCTGACGGCTCCATTGGTCAGTGTCCACATCACCCATGGAGTTATGCGGGGAATTTTTTCTTTTTAAGAAACTTGCAGCAGCTCTCACAGGTCCAAAAGGCCATTTTAAAAAAGAAAAAATAGTTAAATATCAACCCGTTCCTTCCGCCAGCAGCCAGCCCAGGCGGGGTGTTTTGCTGTCCCGCAAACGCTGAGCAGCTGAAAGCTCGCGGACCTCTGCGTCCAGGCGCTTTGCTCTGGCTTGTGCAACAGCAAGAGGCGGAACAGGGGCTTTGCTGCTGAGGAGCTCTTCAATAAATCCGATCGTCAGGTCCGTGAGACTGGTTTGGCATGAAAAAAAAAAAAAGCCTAAAAGAGCACAAAATGCTGCAAGGTTGCGTCTGTAGGATGTGAAGGTGCATTTTTCAAGAAAGCAAGCCCGAGAAGCTGCATGAAGTCTCCTCCAGCAGTCCACTGCATTCCCAGAACACGCATGCAAAGCCCCACTTCCATCGCCCTAAACACCTCCAGAGTCTTGCGCCCACCCTGCCCCTGCCCGCGGCTCCGTCCTTGCTGAATTAACGCCCCTGTGCACACGAGGAGCGAGCTGCGGATTCCTGCCCATCCTCTGCCTCTTCCCACCCCGCCCTGAGCTCGCAACAGCCTTCAGGTCCCCAGCAGCAGCTGGCGGGTTTGGTTGGGTTTTTATTTTATTTTATTTTCCCCCTCAATGACAATTTAATTTGGAATGGCTGCGCCGGCTTGGGCTGACCCCGGTGTCAAGCTCTCGCCCTCTGAGCCCCTGTGACAATGACACTGGGACCAGCAGCTGCTCTGCAGAACCAGGGGCTGCACACATCGCTTGGGCTTCAGTGCTGCTCTTTGCAAAGGACAGGTTTTGCTCTCAGGCAGGAAAATGCACCTGGATACAAATGGAAAATGGTAAAATTAGAAGGAAAAAAAAAAAAAAATCCACATTCATCTGCAGGTACACCTGCCACAGCAGCGCCTTCTGCATGATGCACCCCGGCTCTGCCTGGTGGTGTAGAACAGAACACTGAGGGTGCAGGAATTAAATTCTCTGTGTGAAAGAAAAACCAACTCCCCTCCATCCCTTAGTCGTACTCCAGGTAGTCCTTGATTTACTGGAATGCGCAGGGGCTCCTCCCATAGCTGAGACATCTGTAAATGAATGAAGCAGCGATCTTCTTTTATCCCTGCTGGATGCTTGACACAATCCAGCGCTGGTGCACAAAGCAAACCGATGCCAGGACTGGTTTGACCCCACCACAGCTGCGTGAAGGCAAAAGCACAGCCCGTATGTGTCACAGAGAATGTAACTCGTTTTGTTTTTTTTTTTCTCCCCCCCCCAGGCTTTGTACAAACTGTACAGCGCGGCAGCGACGCACAGACATTTGTACCACCACGCCTTTCCCGCGCAGAAAGCGGAGCCAGCCGAGGCCTCGGAGAGGAAGAAGGTGTAAGCCCGGCGCACGCCCATCGATGCATGAACGGGGCACGGACATCTCCTCCTCCTCGGTTCAACTCTCTCATCCCCGTCCCCATCACGAGCTCCTGCTGCCGAGCGGGGAGAGCAGAGAACAAGTCACGTGTAAGGTGGTTGGGTGTGTTCGTTCGACAACGCGGTGTTTTGACAGCAAGGTGTCGGCATGTTTTTCGTTTTGTTAATATGTACATATGGGTACTGCTGCAAAGACAAAGTGCTTTTAATTTGTAATCGCCAGCGTTCTGCCCAGCTAATTTATGAAGCCTTATTTTCTCCTTCTTAATTAGTTCTGAAGTCACTGAAGAAATAATAATTTACACGATATTGCAACTAAAAAACCTTCCAGAGCTTAGCATTATTCCAAAGCCAACTTCTTTTCAGATACTTGAACAAGTTATAACATGTAACCAAGTTTTTTCTTCAATTAACTGTTTAATTACCTAACCATCATTAAAAATGTATTCACTTGCTTTATCCGGAACTGTCAGGGCACTTCTGCTACGGTCTGTCCACGATCAAACCTTTCCGTTTGTGACCGATGTGTGTATGTACCGGAGCGAGTGTCACCGTATTTCTGTCTGTATATATTCATTATAGTGCAGAGAAAGTGCGTTCAACAGTTCTATTCTTTTATCGTCAGAACTATTAAAGTTTGCTGTCAGTTCCTAAGAGGCTGGTTATCCAGGAAGCAGTTACTGGCTGATGAGGTGAGCGCTTCTCCTCTGGGGTTTTTTACATTCTTGCTTTCCCTTTGATATTTTGAAAATACTCCAGCCTGGCTCCTTCCCCTGTGTCACCTCTGTGCCCTGCTCCTGTCACTAAGGAGGTCAAGGCAGGTTTTGGGCAAAAAACCCCAACTCTCCGCCTTTTAACAGCGGAGGAAAAGCTTCTGAAGTGAAGCGAGGCCAAAGCTGAGGGGCTGCAGCCCTCTCGAGGGCCAGCACCAGGTCCAGCCCCCCTCTCGCTGTCAGGATTTGTGGAACAGACGTGTTTGGCGACACCGAAGCCGGCACAGCGCCAGGCAGGCGCAGCGCTCCCAGGGCCAGCGGCTGGGTGTTGCAGAGAACGGTGCCAACCACAACCGGCTTTATTCCGCCCGGACAGGAACACCCTCCTCACTGGGGGCCCCATCAATATCATTTAAAGGCAAAAAAATCAGCTGAACAGCCCTTCATTCATTAAACAAAATGATTTTTATTGAATTAATAGGATTTACAAGAAATGGTTTTTTTTTTGTCTGCAACAATGTTTATTGCACTAAAAAAAGAATCCATAAATAACATTTCAGGACAATCAGTGAACCAAATGAAAATATTGGAGAGGGTAACTGTACAATTAAAAATTTTCCCCAGGTAAGGAACCTTTAATACAAGTCAAAAGCTCGTTTAAAAAAAAAACGTAAATTGTTGTTACATCCCTGACATTCTCCATGGTGTGGCACAGCTGGCTGGAGAGCTGGTCAGACAACGCTATCCCCTTCCCACATGGGTCACGCGTGATGAAATGCATTTACCTGGCATTTAAACACCTGTGAAAAGTTCATTAGAAAATCTTGGTCTTTAAGAAGGTACAAGAATTTCCCCTCTGACTAATTTCTGTGAAAACTAGTAGTAAATATAAAGTAGGAACGTGTTAAAGTAAAAAAATAAGGCAACTCGGACTTCGCTTTTGTAAAGCACTTGTTTGAGGTTGATGAAATCCGCCTCTGGCTGGTGTTAGCGGAAAGGAACGGTGTCAGCGTTCTGGACATTAAAGCTGTAAACAAAGAGCAGACCTCTCTCAAGAGAGGGATACCGAGTCCCGAGGGAAATGCACTGAAAGATTCGTTCGGATTTTAACAATGTTTTGAATCCAGGACATTTCACATAGTTGCATCTATTGCCCTTTAAAAAATATATAGTCAGCTTCTTAATACTGCAGCTGACTGCTAGGAAAGATACCAGAATCGAGTCTCTGATTGAACTCCGTGCTGGTTTTCAGAATAATAAACCAGTTCTTGTATGGAAAGAAAAAAAAAAAAAAAAAAAAAGATTAACAAACATTTTTCATTTTTATAAACAATACATAATACATGTAGAAAAATACTCAAGAGGATAATAACAAAAGGTGCAACGTCACCAAAAATAAGCTGCCTTTTCAACAAAAGCACTTTTTCATAGTTTTGAAGTGTGAAAACCTTTTAAAGCTCTTCGTGTCCTCAGAAAAGTCTATTAGAAAAAGTTGATAGCTTAAAAATTCTTGCCGTGCTGCTGGGCATACCACTGCTGCCTCTGCTTGCGGTGCTCCAGCTCGGTGAGGAGGGCCTGCCTGTATGCCTCGTACAGCTTCACGATCCGTTCCAGTTCCTTCATGAAGAGCAGCTTCAGCATCCCCTGGTATGTGTCCAGGTCCGCCAGCTGGAAGAGCTCCCACTTCAGAATGTGATCGTATCTGTTCCAACAGAAAAGAGGATTATCTGCACGCCCTGCCAGCCTACGCGCAGCATCTCAGGGGTTTCCTTAAGAAAGGTGCACAGCCGCCCGTCAGATTTTGAGCAATCTACGTTAGCATGTTTTATAAGAAGAAATAAGGTAATTAAAAAAAAAAAAAAAGATAAAAAGATGGGGAGCTATGTCTCAAAGTGAGTCGGAGAAACATCACTTAGAGCTGAACTGCAGAGTCACTCAGAGAAACTCTAGATCCTGTTAACTGGTTAGAATAAACCCAGGCAGAAAACGCATTTTGGAAGCATTAAACCAGCGATTCCATTCACCACACGCCTCAGAGGTTTTGCAGTAAAACAGCTTTTAAAATTAGAGTAACACAGAAAAAAAGGAATGACTTCAACAGCTTACCCCGACACCCCAGCAGGCAGAGTACCCCAAACCCTCCCTCACAACCCACTGTTGTTTCCAAGGATCCTCAACAAGCACTCTGGAACACCGTCCCCCTCGGGGTTCATTAGCAGCGATGATCTAAGTCAGTGTGTCACCAGCTGTGAGTGATGAACCCCACAGGAGGAGGGAAGAGGGTATCAGAGAGCATCGGTGGGGACCAAGGGAGGGGAGAAGCCAATTAGCCCCTAATTAATGGCTGTAAGCACTCACACCAGCCAGGGATGTCCTACCAGCAGCAATCTACCTGCCATGGGGAGAGTGGGATGGGTGTCGAGGGAGCGATGAAATCACTAACAGCTAAAAATCCTGCATGTTCTTAGTCTGCACACTGGAAAAATGAGCTGCCGAGGACCTGGGGAGGTCCCCTGGTGACATGTGGCAAGAGCCTGGAACACACTAGTGCCACCCCAACTCCTCCTTGAGGAATATCGCATCTGGCTCCCTGCGTGAGATGGAAACAAGCTCAGCGACGAAGTCAACCAGTTACTGTTGGATTTCTTCCCACTTCCACCAGTCACAAGGAGTTGGTGGTGGAGCAAGGCGACATACGGCAGCCTGGGTCGTCAAAGCGCCGTCCACACTGTCAGTGCTTTGTCCTTGACGAGGGAAACGGACACCAGCCAGCAGCGCAGAAGGTGAAAGCTCACCAAGGAAAAACCAAGAGGAGCAAGAAGGAGGCTGCACGCAGCCAGGCTTTGTTAGAAGCCACACGCATCGCTCTCCGCACGTTAAAACACCACAAAGAAAGGCAGGAGCACCCCATCAATCCTCGAGGCGGGAGAAATGATGTCCAAGGAAAGCTGCTGAGTGTCACTGACCCTGCCAACGCTCCTGGGTTACAGAGCTGCTGGCACAGTCCATCTCACCTCCCACTCCGTAGGGCTTCTCCTCTCCTACTCCACACGCAGCGCTGCTTCCCTTACACAAGCTGTCAGCGCTGGGTTTTTTATTTTTAGTTTTTAATACGGAGCAATTCTGAATTTCTGTTTGTTCTCCTAACACTTTTCTCAATTTCTGAAACATACAAACACACCCCTCTGCTCAGACTCTTGCGATACCGAAGCTGCTGCCACGGGCTAGGTACAAACTTAATGTGAGATGAGCCTCTCCAAGCCTCCCTCGTTTCAGAGCCGAAGAAGGTCCCTGAAGGCTGGGCAGATGAGTCCAGGTCCACAATGGATCCTATGTTTGATCATACGTTAGTCAGTGCCTCGCTTTCATGCCACAAATTCTTCCAAGCCAGTGCTGATAATCTTTTATACCAAACGCGTGGTTCAACACTTCCCAAATTTAACATCTATAATATTTACCTTATACATGAGCTATCCAAACTATTCAGGAAAGTATTTTTCTTCATTACTTTAAGGGACCTCTTTTTGTGCCAGTCGTAGGGGAAGGTTTCCAAGATCCTGGTAGAAAACCAGTATTTCTAACAAAGTTCTTCACCAAAATCATGGTAATTCTCCAGCGATAGGATTGAAGGTCTCCATCCAGCTCGTGGCCAGATGCCCAGTCCCACCACCACATCCCGTGGGGGAGCAGCTGCAGGATGATACCAAGCAGGTGACACCAGCATCCAGGATGTTCCTTGAAGAGCTGGTAATTTAAATAATTCAGGAAAAACCCAATACACTGGGCCAAAAGCAAGACTTGGTGAGCAATGGGAAGTACAACTTACTTCAGCTCAGGCTCCGACGCCTACGTGGCCAAGCGATTAGGGACTGGGACCCGGCTCGTGTCGGTCAGCACGTCAGGGGATGCATTAACAGCCCGCGGTGCAGACCTACCCTCACACGCTTAAATGAAGTGGTGTGATGACTTCAGATAGCTAGATGCATACCACAGCTTAAAATAAACGGGCTGTTCTCTTTCATGGTCTCCTTCCACCTCAGCGTGGTGACTGGAGAAGCCCGGCAGGGTGACACGAGCCAGCAGCCATGGAGAGACCAGCCAGGTTCGGGAACAGACACACTTCCCCAGGCTCAGAGGGGACACGGGACGCAGGAACGACGTGTGACGCAAGGGGAAGCACAGTTCTCATTAGCGGGAGCGTCTGGGCTAACCTGACCCTACCTAAACTCGCAGAGACGTGTGTGAGAGAACTTCAGGGGTATCGCCCCAAAGCGAGCAG